TTTAGTTCCAGGAATATTTTTATTTCTTTCTTAGTTTCTCCTTTGACCCATTCATACTTCAGGAGTATATTATTTAATCTCCATGTGTTCATGTAGTTACTAGGGGTTCCGGTAGTGCTTTTAAGCTTTATTGCATTGTGGTCTGATAGAATGCATGGAATTATTTCAATCTTTTTGTATTTATTGAGGTTTGTTTTGTGCCCCAGTATATGGTCGATTTTGGAGAAAGTTCCATGGGGTGCTGAATAGGAAGTATATTCTTTGGTGCTTGGGTGGCATATTCAGTAGATGTTTGTTACATCCATTTGATATATGATATTGTTTAATTCAGATGTCTCCCTGTTAATTCTCTGTCCTATTGACCTATCTAATGGTGGCAATGGGGTGTTAAAGTCCCCTACTATTAATGAATTGGGATTAATCTGGGTCTTAAAGTCCTGTAGTACTGTTTTTACGAAGTTTGGGGGTACACCAGAGTTTGGTGAATATATGTTCATGATTGTAATATCTTCTTGGTTCCTTTAATCAGAATGAAGTGGCCTTCTTTATCTCTTCTGATTATATTTAAAGTCCATTTTGTCAGATATTAGAATTGCAACAGCTGCTTTTTTCTTAATACCATTCACTTGGTATATTTTTTTCCATCCTTTCACCTTAAGGTAGTGCCTGTCCTTGAAAGTGAGATGTGTTTCTTGAACACAACAAAAAGATGGGGTTTGTTTCTTAATCCCTCAACTAGTCTGTGTCTTTTGACTGGAGAGTTCAGTCCATTGATATTTAAAGTCATTAATGAAAGATGTGTATTGACTGCTGTCATTTTTATTTCAGTTCACATTCTTGGTGTAGTTGTGCATTTCCATAGTTATACCTTCATTAAGTTTCTTTCCATAACCCCTTAGGTATGGTCATTCCTTTTTTCAGCTCTTTGTATTGCTTCAAGAACTCTCTGAAGGGCTGTGGACATGAATTCTTTCAGCCTACTTCCCCTTTGATTCTAATAGACAATTTTGTCTGTGTAAAGTAATCTGGGTTGGCATCTGTGGTCATTTAGGACTGAGAATACTTTGGTCCAGGCTCTTCTGGCCTTCATAGTTTGCACTGAAAACTCAGCTGTAATTCTGATGGGTTTTCCTCTATATGTGAGTTATTGTTTTTCTTTTGCAGCTTTCAGTATCCTCTTTGTTCTGTATTTTTAGTGTTTTACTATGATGTGCTGTGGGGAGTTTCTTTTCTGGTCCTGTCTTCTTTTCTGGTGTTCTATATGCTTCTTGTATTTATATGGGCACATCTTTCTTTAATTTGGGGGACTTTTCTTTTACAATCCTGTTGAAGATCTGGTCCATACCATTATCCTGAGATTCTTCTCCTTCCTGTATACCTATGATATGTAGGTTTGGTCTTTTTATGATGTCATACAATTCCTGCATATTCCATTCTTGTGTTTTCATAAATTTTCTCATAATCTATGCTTGTGTGGTCTAATTCATCCACTTTATCTTCCAGTCATGATATTCTGTTTTCCATTTCATTCATCCAATTGTGAGGCTTTCTCTTGTTATTTCTAATTGGCTTACTGAGTGTTTCAATTCCTTCTTCATTTAAGCCTGAGTATTCTTCAATATTTCAAACTCTTTTTTGAATTCATTCAGAAGTTTATTGCTATCTTCCTTCAGTTCTTTGATTTCTTTGTTTGTGTGTTCTTTAAATTCACTGAATTCTTTTTTTTTATGTTTATAATTGTTCTTTTGAGTTCCGTGTCTTTCCCTGCATCCCCAGCTTTCCTGCAACTCACTATGTAGACCAGGCTGGCCTTGAACTCACAGAGATCTGCCTGCCTCTGCCTCTTGATTGCTGGGACTAAAGGCGTGCACTACCACGCCTGGCTTAAATTCACTGAGTTCTTTTATCACCTTTATAATTATTCATTTCAATTCCATGTCCTCTGTTATCTCTAGGGGGTTGTGGTGGTTTGAATGAAAATGTCCCCCATAGGCTCCAAGTATTTGAACATTTTGTTCCCAGATGATGGCACTGTTTGGGGAGGTCTTAGAAGGTATGGCTATCCTAGAGGACGCACATCACTGGGGTGGGCTTAGAGAGTTCTTAAGCCTTGCCAGATCTCCAGTAGCTTTTTTTGCTTCCTGTGCCTGTGTGATGATGTGAGAGCTTAGCTTCTGCTGCTCCTGCTCCAGCCACCTCCAGCCACCATGCCTCCTTGCCATAATGGACGTTAATTCCCCTGGAACCGTAAGCTCAAATAAACTCTTCCTTCTATAAATTGCTTTGGTCAGTGTTTCTATCACAGTGACAGAAAAATGACTAATACAGGTGTTCTCATTTCTCATTGTACTTCTCTAGAGGACTGTTGGTACTTGGTGGGGATATATTATTTTGGCTTTTCATGTTATTATTTTTTTCTCTGACTTTGACATGTGGATTTCTTTTGTAGTTTCTGATTCTTGTGTGAGACTCAAGCCTTCCTTTGTTGAATTTAGGTCTGCTTCTTTTTGTAAACTTTATGTGCCTCTGTGGTTTATTTGTTAAGCATGAAAAGCTGGTTGGTCTAGGTATCAGGTTCTCTCTTTTGATTTTGTATTGGAGTGGCCAAATTGCTTTCGTCTTGCTGCTCAGGAATTCCCACAGAGGCCCAAGTCGGATGAGGCTCAGATGCTCTCAGGCTTTCTTCTAAGGTCTGGATCCCTCCAGGAAAGATGCTGGCCTTGGGAATTTGAGGTCTGGGCTGGCCTGGGAGCAGGGCCCAGGAAAGATGCTGGCACCAGTAAGCTGGTGGCTGTGCTGCCCAGGGATGCAAAGGGAGGTGGAGAAAAGAAGAGGCCCCAGGGCTCTTGGGGACTACAGGGAGGAACTGGGTTGATCTGGATGCAAAGGATCAGGAAAGCAATGGGGATTCTGGGCTAATATATCAGTCCAGGGGTCTGGGGTGCCAAGACAAGAAATGGGCCAGTACCCAGGCTAGAAGGAGAGATGGGATGGGGGAGGTGGGAGGATGAATGAGGCTGGGGGCATCAAGACATGGTGGGGGCTGCTGAACTTACCCAGAAATGATGCTGACCCCAGGAAGCTGGTGGCTGTGCTGCCCAAGGATGCAAAGGGAGGTCGGAAGACAGTTAATTTTTAAAGAAAACCCCGAGGTCATATAGACACTCATGTAGAAAAATCGCAGTTGAGAGGGATGGGTGCATAGGAAAAAATCGGCAAAGGGAACCCTCTATCCAGAGACTACCCTCTGAAATACACTCACTTCATAATAAAACTAAAGTTTGCTGCAGTTCTCAAAAAGCCAATAACCTTGAATTATCATCAGTTAAGACAACTTGGTCCAGTCTTTAAAATATCTCAGCCTCCAAAAACATGATCTTCCAAATATAGGATTAGATTTTTTCCCCCATTGGAGAGAGAATCTTACTATGTAACATAGACTGTCCTGGAATTAGTTGGACAGCCTAGGCTGTTCTTGAACTCATGACCCCCTGCCTTTACCTCCTAAATGCTATAGTTATAATAAGAGCCACCACACCTGACTCAAATTAAGGATTTTCTAACAGTGTAAAGTAACAACAAATTATTTTGATAGAAAGATGGTTTCCAGAGCTGGAGAGATGGCTCAGCAATTAAGAGCCCTGACTGATCCTGTAGAAAACCCAGGTTCAATTCCTAGCATCCACATAGCAGCTAACATCCATTTATAACTCCAGTTCCAGGGGATCCAACATCCTCTTCTGGCTTCTATAGGTACTGCGTGACATGTGGGCACTTACACACATGCAGGCATAATACTCATACACATAAAATACAAATAAAATTTTTAAAAAGGAGGATGGCTTCTGGTTTAAGTCTGTCCTAGTTTGTTTCTCCATTGCTGTGACAAAATACTTTGACCACTAACATGGGGAGGAAAGGATTTATTTGTCTTACATATCCTGGGTCACAGTTCATCAGAAAGCCCAAGGTAGGAACTCAGTGCAGGAACCTGGAGGCAGGAGCTGGAGCACAGGCCATGGAGGATCACTACTTACTGACTTGCTTCCCTGGCCCATGTTCAACCTGCTTTCTTATACAACATAGGAACACCTGCCCAGGGATGGCACCACCCACAGTGGGCTGGGCCCTCCCACATCACTCAACAATCAAGAAGGTGTCCCGTGGACATGGCCACAGGCCAGTCCAATGAAAGCAATTCCCTAATTGAGGCTTCCTCAACCCAGGTATGTCAAGTTGACACCAAAGCTATCCAGCACAAAGTCAATTTTTAAAATAAAAACTCCAGAAAGACCCTGATAAATGGGAGTTCTGTTCCTATGTTGGAGGTTTGTCTCAGGCTTTCCTCTAGGCACTGGAAGGTCAAAGAGGTTTCATTCCATGTGCCACCTCTAGCAGAATGCCTTCATTTAGCTACGTGATAGAAATCACAACCACGGGAATTTTCCAGATGTTTACTTCATGCTCACTCTAGTGAAAGACAGTCTTTATCTACTCTTTGGTTTGCACACACAATTTTGAGAGGGATTGTGATGGTCAAGACTGTGTTAAAAAAATAAAATAAAAACAAACATGAGGAACGACTGTTCAGTCTTCAACCCATCATCAGCTTTGGGGGACAGGAGTTACATGAATACATGGCAGTTTCCATGGGAACTCAAGATTAAGCTTGACAGGAAGAAGGATCTCTAGCGTAAGGACAACCTCAGGAACAGAATTTTGAAAGTAGTCAGTTTCTACTACAAAATGGATGGTCACCTGGTTACCATTCTGAGATTAAATCAGAGGCAGTTAAAAGAGAAGCCCCCTAAGAATGTGTCCTAGTCTCACACAGCAGCTATATCCCCTCTCAGGCCTATACACCTTGTGGTTCCTCAGCTAGGAAAAGTAATCCCCATCCAAATCAAGGAGCAAATCTAGCACTAGATCAGGAACGTGCATCAACTTTGTACGGAGAAGGCTCCTGCTGGGTGACTGACATGTAATCCTCTCTTCTCAAGGCAGGCAGTGACTTGAAGATTCTGGGTTTGGTCCCCGAGAACTGCCTTGCTATGCGGTATCTGAAGAAGTTCCAGATCCCCTGGGGCATCTTCAAATTATTCCACAGCTTTCGCCTAGGTCATCGGCAGTTGAGTTGCCAGTCTTCGTCAGCAGTTGGAGCGCCAAAATGGAATGACCATGATACACCTGAGGAATTTAACTTTGCAAGCCATGTGCTGGACTACTGGGCTCAAATGGAGGAGGTAAGAGAGCATCATGATGGGGCAGTGGAGTGGCCTAATGGACGTTATCTTGCTCTTACTAGACTAAGAGACAGGGTGAGGTAGAGCTTCTTCAAAACAGCAACGTAGTAAGAGAAACTCGTACTCTAGGCTTTGATTCACAGTCTGGATATTACCTCACTTCTCTGAGCTTCAGTAGGGTTTTTTTTTCCTGTGAAATGGGGGTAAATTCATTTTTAAAACTTATTTTCATAAGAGGTAAAAGTATTTGATACACAATTATTGTTCCATAATTCTGACTTAGTACAACGTTCTAATCACCAAGTCAGCAAGTCCATGTTAGTCTGAGTTCTTACCTTCAGTTAATGGGAGAGTGTAACTGGAATTCAGTTCATCACACTTGGGCTTGACTGTAGGCCATACCCAGAAGGGGATACACCTCCTGAATGTCCACAAGGGCATCTGCCACATTTCTCTAAGTCAAGTTGTCTGTTTTCCTATGAGGATGGCACACCAACCTGGGATCCTCTCTGTCACATACCTCCTTGAGTGTGGCTTTAGGTGTTTTGCAGTAACACCAGTCCCTCTAGCCTCCGGAGCGTACATATCTCTGCAGAAAAGCCCCCTTAGTTTGTCTTTTCCCCAGACATAGATAAGTAGAAAAATAGTAGAGGCACTAGGAGTTAGGGCAGACAGTGGGTGATTTTTGAGCCACTCAAGCCTAGGCTCTGCAGTGTGAAAACACACCAAGCCCCATCTTTGAACACAGAGAGAATTCACCCAAAATAGACTTGGGGAGTTACTCTAAATTTTACATTCCCCGTGAACATTCATACTCATACAGTACTATTCAGGGCCAATATGCCGTCCATAATCTCTTTTCTACACCATCTTCTTTACTCTGAACTTTCGTGATAATCCTGAGAAGAATGCAGCCCTCTGTCATGGAGAACATATTTATGCTCCATGTCAGTCATTTTGCTTTTCGTCTACTGTTCCCACTTTCCAGACAAGGAAACTTAGAATCTGAGGTTAGAGTAACCAACCTAACAAATGGAAGAACAGGATTTGGTTGCAGGCTGACTGAACCCACAATCCAGCATTTAACTTAGTCTCACCAGCTGAAAGGCCAACAACACCTCTGCTTCAGAGAAAAATTGACTTTCCTCATTGTCCAGACCATAAATAATCAGGTTAAGAACACTTAAAACTTGAGATGAGTTGGAGAAGTAACTGGTGTAGAGGAGATGATAGTACCACCTTGTTCCTTGTTATGTCATAAAGTTCTGAATAGTAAGTTCACTCACCAATTTATGGAATTAACAGCCAAGTAAATCTTCCTCCAGGGAATTCCAGGACTGATGGGTTTTATAACACCATTATCAGTCATCGCCAGTTCCACCATATCTCCAAATCTCCCGCACTTCTACACACCCCATCCCATAATATTCATTCTTAGTATTTTTGTTTTCAATGTTTCCAGCTGCCTCGATCATGATTAATAACTTAGACTCACTCACTGTGATTCTGCAGAGACCTTTAGGTACCTAACACATCGTTATACTCAATAAACACTTGTGGACTGTATTAGCGTTTGTTCCTTACTTGCTGTCACTCCTGTGAAAGACCCTCTGATTTCTAATAATTTCTACAAATTATTAGCAAGCAACACATGGAAACTGATCCATGATCCAATCAATAGCACTGCCCAAACTATTACAGAATGACAATCTTTATTTTGACTCACTTGTCCACACACTAAACTTGTAAGTTGTAAGACGGAAACCTAACATACTCTTGTGAAATCTTCTGGAGGATTTGACAAATATTTCATTAGAAACCAAAGAACAAAATTAAACTGTAAGTTAAACAATACAGTCCATGTGTGTAACACAGTTACTCTCTGAGGCTGCCAATTTATAGCCCCTGGCTGTGCTTGGAAATGAAATCCTAGCTCCTCCTCAGATGTGATACACAATTTCAAGTGATTCCTGGAGCAGTCCCCAAATTTATTCATGAGAGATGACATTCATATCAACATGCATCCATTCTGTCTCATATACTTCATTCATTCATTCATTGTTTATATAACAAAAAACTTGAGCTCTAAATGAGGCTAGGACAGTAAATAACACAGGTAGCATTTCAATTTTCCTTGCCATTTTGTCAATTATTTTCTTTATGCCACATAGAATTTTTGTTCTTTATTTCCTCTGTTACTTACTTTGTGTTTAGTTGAATTTCCTTAGTGGCAATTCTAATTTTTTTTCCTCATTTCCTTTTGCATATATTCTATAGATATTTTCTTTGTGATTACTATGAGGATTTCACATAAAATCCTGTACCACTAACAATCTATTTTTAACTTTTAACAACTTAATATCAGTCACATAAGAAACCCTATCCCTCTACAGCTCTATCCCAACTAAACACCAACCTTGTTGCTAGTATCACAAATTGCATCTTCTTAAGCACACATTGACATAGATTTATCATTATCTTATAAATATGACTAAAGATTAAAAGTGGAGGTCAGCAAGATAGGAAAGGCACTTGACAACCTGACAACTTGAGTCCAATCCCTGCGAACCACGTGGTGGAAAGACAGAGCCAGCTCCCAGGGGTTGTCCTCTGACTTCCATATGCACACAGGAGAAGACCTTGGCTAATTGGCCAGATGGAGGCTTAATGCCATCCCAAGCCTTTCTAGTTTTGCCGTCCCTGGTCCTGTCGTGTGTTCTTCCTCCCTGTCCCAAATTTTCCCATTTATGTGGCTAATGTTAAATAACCCAAATTCCCTAAAAGCCTCACCCCTGCTTCTCCTCAGGGTTTGGAAGTTCTGCTCTGTTCCTCTCTCCACAGCCTCTTGCCCCTGGATGCCCACAAGTCTTCACACACCATAGTACCTGCAACTGGCTCAGAAATATCCAACCTGATATTCAAACTATGGTTCCAATCTGACCTTCAAATTAGGCAAAAGAGAAACCATTTCCTCCAGAAGCCCCTGAATAAGTCAGAACTTTGTAAACAAGTCCCAGTCTCTTTCATTTGTCCCAGCAGAGAAGCCAGGAATGAAATGGCTTCCCCATAAATTATGCTGCACTGCACCAGAGGTTTAGGAACAAGAGCAAGAAAAAATGTCACAAAGTTTTCTACATTTTCAGTGTGACTTTTTTATTGTGATCAGTTGTTTGATTGCTTCAGATCCTTCACTGATTTCTGGAGTTCTTGAAAAGCTGTCATTTTGTTGTTATTTACTTGATGTTTCCGTGAGGAAACAGGTAACTGGAGCTTCTTGGTCTTCTATATTAATATCCTAAAATTACATAAACATTTAGCAGCTAGTTTAGCATCTTTTCTTTTATCTTGTTATGATACTATTTGTTGAGCAACTATTCCATGCCAGGCACTATTAATGTGTTTTGTTCATTTAAAGCCTGCTGTCATTTAGGTACTGCTGCTCTCCCCATTTCATAGGTAAGAAAGCTGAGGCACAAAGAGGAACCCATGGCCCATATGGACCTAGGACAGACATATGGAGAAACG